ATGCCATTTAGCCTTTCCCCTGCTATTCCCAGCTGAGGGGTTCCCTCCTTTTGCAAATGTCATTTTTTCACTCACAAAGCTCCTTGCCCTTGTCTGTGCACCGGAGTCCACTGCCGGTGAAAGAGGGCCCCCGGGAGGGCCAGGCGAAGAGGCGTAGGTTGTGCACGGCCGGCCGGGAGGCCTCTATTCACACAGCTTGCAGAGACCTTAGCAACCCAGATGGAGGCCCCGGAGGCCGAATGCAGCCCCTGGACAATGCTGTCAACACTGAATACCGGGAACCGTTTAGCCAGGCAGGGCAACTGTGGCCATTTCTTTCTTTCCAGAGTGGGATTCTCTTTGATGGTTCGCATAAAGGCGAGGCGGTGCGGTTTAATCTCCCATCTACAGAGCCGCTTTAAATTTGGACCCACGAATAAAGCCTGATTGTAGATCCGTGCTCTCAGAGCAAATAGGAGATCTGTGCAGTTGACAAAGAAGCACATTTTGGAAACAGGCTCATTTATTAATTGGCAAAATAAATGAAGTGTTGGGGGAAGGGGGGGGCACAGAATTCTCCCTAAGTAGCAATGTTCGGGAAAGGATGCCAGAGTAGATTCTGAATTCTCAGTGAAGAGCTTTTGGGGGTTCTTACCGCACAGTTTGGAAAAGAGCTAGGGGGCAGGGGCCGAGAGCCTAAGATGAGACATCTCGAAAGAAGAGAGGCTAGGGGTTTAGGGGCACTTCCTTCCAGCCAGGGAAGGAAAAAGAGCCTCAGGGCTAGTGTCAGGCCTGGTGCCCTGGGCCCCGGCCATGTGATCCTCACTCTGACACCGAGGTCGGGAGGGGCTGTGCAAAGACGTACTTCTCGAAATACATTCACATAGGCATGCACACGTGCACAAGCACACTCAACAGTACTTTCACACTGAGACCAGTTTTTAAATGTGTTTTGGAGTTTGCATCTGTTTCTTTTGCATTTATTTGTATTTGTATCTTAGCTTGTATCTCGAATCCCACAACACGCCATGTTGCTTCGGTGCTTCAAGGTCTTATCAGAACTCCTTTCTCTGAAATCTGAAGGACTTACATGAAAGAGAGGGTGTGGCCCCATCCCAGCCTGAGCCCTTAACTGTGAGTGACCCAAATGCTGTGGCCATGGCTCAGGTCTCCGGCACTCCTCCCCTTGACCTTAAACCCCAGCCACCCCAAGCTTTGAGTCCCCCCTACTGACCCTGCTTTCTCCCCCCACAGGGACCTTCTTCTACTGGGAAACCTTTTCCTTCTCCTATTTGCCTATTTAACCCCTGCTCCTTCTTAGATTTTAGTTCATAGGTCCTATTCTCACGCAGGACTTCTCTGACCTCCTGTCTAGATCAAATTCCCTTTTCTGTGCTCCCATGGCTCTACAAAACCAGGAACCAGGCCTGCAGGTGGGAGTCACACACTGGCCCCAGCCCCATCACAGCACCTGGCCCAAAACAGCTCCTTAATATCTGTGGACTGAACACGCAGTCTGTGTGTTCACAGACACATAAATCTGTGAAACCAGATTTATGTCTTCAGTCTATCTCTGCTGGGTAAGAAGGGCGGGAGCCTCTCCCATCAAAGAACTCTTCTCTGACCCTTGTCTTTTCTGTTGGCCTCTCTCCTTAGGCTATCTCAAGCTAAAAGACCACATCAAAATGCAGAGTAGAAACTCTGTGTACATGCAGTGTTGTATAACTACAGTATATGATAGTTAATTTTGCACTGATCTAGACTACCAAGAATCCCTTTCCAGAAGGTTCTTCCCAGGGGCACCTCGGTGGCTCAGCTGGTTAAGCAGCCTGCTCTTGATTTTGATTCACATTGTGAGCTCATGGTTTGTGGGATCAGGCCCCATGTTGGGCTCTGAGTTGACAGCTCAGAGCCTGCTTGGAAATTTCTCTCTCTCTCTCTCTCGCTCTGTCCCTCCCCTGCTAGCACTTCTCTCTCTCTCTCAAAATAAGTAAATAAGTAAACATTAAAAATAAAAAAAGAAGGTTCTTTTGAAGTGTAATTTATGTACAGTGGACAGCATAGAGTTAAAAAAAAAAAAAAAAAAAGTTCAGTTCTGGTCCCAGCCATCAAAATTTGGTTGTACAACTCTGATTCCAAGCTTAGCAAGTTTTCTGCAATTGGAAGAAAGTTGTGAAATAGTAAACAGGAAGAGAGAATAGACAGAGAGTGTCTTTGACCTTTCCAAAGGAAGACAGATTCAAAATAGAGCTAGTAGAAAAAATTTTCCCAACAAAAACTCAAAGCTTTCAGCAGAGGATTCAACTGTGTCTAGCATGTTGGCTAGAAGAATCCAGTGACACAATAACCAGTGTAGCCAATAACGTCCTTGAAATCACACTTCTTAGTGTGGCCTTGAGGTAGGATAGAACAGCCTAGAAGGGAGAGGAAGCAACCCACTGAGAAGAAAGATATAACCAGCATCAACAAAATCACTGCTCCTAAAACCCTCCACCCTAGATGCATTGCAGAATTCCTTAGGGAGGTGTTTTAAATTAACAATTGTCAGGGTCCCACCAAGGATTAACTGAATTCTATCTCTGAAGGCTGAAACCCAGGCATGGGTTCTCTTTACAATTCCCAGGCAATTCCAATGTGTATCTAGGGCTGAGGACCCTAGATAACCCTCCTGGTTACCATTTCCTCCTTTCCACCCTCTGTCTCACATGCAAGCTTTCTCCCCTTTGGATCTCTGAAGCACTAAGGTTCTTTCTCACAGAGGCCCTAGTTCATATCCTCCTGACATTGAGAGATTGATGAGATTTTTCTGCCGTTAGTACAACGAGACCTTGAAGCACCTTACAAGCTTTCTCTAGTCTCTAGAGATGCTGTCTTCCTACCATTTTCTTTCTCCCGTCTTAACATCTGCTCTCGCCTTGTTCCTCAAAGTGTGGTCTACAGGGTGGCAACATCAGCACAACCTAAAAGCTTTTTAGAAACACCTCAGCCTCCTGTATCAGACTCTGCATTTTATTTTTTTTTTTATTTTTTTTTCAACATTTATTTATTTTTCGGACAGAGAGAGACAGAGCATGAACGGGGGAGGGGCAGAGAGAGAGGGAGACACAGAATCGGAAACAGGCTCCAGGCTCTGAGCCTGACGCGGGGCTCGAACTCACGGACCGCGAGATCGTGACCTGGCTGAAGTCGGACGCTCAACCGACTGCGCCACCCAGGCGCCCCCAGACTCTGCATTTTAACAAGATCTCCAGTGATTCACATGCACATGAAAGTCTGAGAAGCACTGTCTGGAAATATCCCAGCCCTTGAAAATCTGGGTCATTTCTCAAGACATTCCTGTTTCTTCTAGGTCTTTTCACACTGTCTCTAGTTACCTTAGAATCACGCCATTTCTGAATCACAGAATACTAGAGGTGGACTACAGTACACAGATAAAGCAATCCAGTCCCTTCACTTAACAGATCAATAAATTGACCTTCCAAGGTTAAATCTACCCACTTGATGAAGAGAACAGTCCAGAAATCCCACAGGCTTAATTATCATAGCTCGTTCACTTTGGGAATTCATAATCTGTATTTCAAGCTATAAGTAGCATTGTGGATTACCCTGAATACTTTTAAATGCTGAAAGCCCCACACTTGTATTTTTAACAGAAATAGACTCTGTCTCCAGTTCATATTAAGAGAACATCTAACACTCAAGTCTACAATAAGGGTACTCACTTATGTACAACGCTATGATTCATATAATAAATGGCCTATGATTTTAACAACACTCAAGAGTCAACCACAATACACATTTATGTGTGCTTACCTTGGGCTCACCCCTGACTTTGACAGTCGGGCCACAGCTTACATGTCTGCGTGTGAGTCCTGGTATAATATTGCAACTCTACCAGTGAGCCCTAAGCCCTTGGTTGAGAACTGCTATTATAATATTCACAAGGACTTATTTTGATTTTTTAAATGTTTATTTATTTTTGAGAGAGAGAGAGAGACAGACAGAGCGTGACAGGGGAAGGGCATAGAGAGAGAGGGAGACACAGTATCCGAAGCAGGCTCCAGGCTCTGAGCTGTCCGCGCAGAGCCCAACGTGGGGCTCAAATCATGAATCATGAGATTGTGACCTGAGCCAAAGTCGGACACTTAACAGATTGAGCCACCCAGGTGTCCCGTACAAGGACTATACTTGTTAGGTGTGGATCACTCTGGGAGAGTGGATCTCAAACTTTAATCACCAGGAAGACTAGTTAAGGCACAGATTATTGGGCTTCCACAGGTCTGGGATGGGGCCCAAGAATTTGTATTTCTAACAAGTTCCGGGTGATGCTGATGCTGCTCTCAGGGGACCACATCTTGAGAATCACCACTTTGGGCCTACTCCCTTTAGACTCAGCCACAAGAGGTCAATCTACAAGTTTTAGAACCCTTGTTAAACATGAATTTTCATCGTCAAAGGAATAATTATCCCTACCTACTTTCTGAAGCACCAGTTCGTAGGTGGGTGGCCCTACTCTGTCTGGCAGGTACAACACACGCCCTGGCTTAGTGCCGATAAGTTCTCTACTCCTGCTCCCCTCTCAGCCCAAAGCATGCCCTTCCCCTTCTCTCTTGGATTGACTCATTCTTGCCCCTTAATCCCCACCCTTCCTTCTCTGCTAATGTCAGAATAAGCCTGGAATCTCCTTCCGTTCCACTCCCCATGGGAGACCCCAATGCCATTTGCTTGCCACACCCAAGGACAGGTCTTTCTCCCGCCAGAAACTTCACTCTGCTCCCCTCCTTTCTCTTTGGTGATTTATTGTTGCACTGACTTCAGTAGCTCTCCAACTGCTGTCCTCTCTTAACCCTGCCGGGATTAACCCTCCAGTGTCTGAGGAAGGTTTCCAAGGCCTTGCACCAGATTGTGACCCAAGCCCCATTATTTGTGGTGGTATCGTTTCCAAAGTGAGAGCTGGGAAAGGAAGAATTCTTGGTCAAGTAGCAAGCATCCAATACAACTAAGATCAGCCCAGGGCTTACCATGAATGAACCACTGCATCTGAAATCCTCTCTCATGGTGACCGACCCCATCGGTGTGGAACAGCACTTGAAGCCTGGAGCCCGTGGTACTCCCTGCAGGCGGTAGGTCAGCTCCACAGTAGCGCCCCATCCGCTGGGGGCCGTCGTAGAGCTGGAATCAAGGAGAAACTTCCCAGGGTGGGGAGCTTTACATGGTGTGTCACAGGGAAAAAGTAAAGTCTGTTCATGTAGCAAAAGCTGTTCCTTGGCTGAGTTTAAGGGTAAATCTGCTAAGGTGGTTTGAACACAGGAGGCTTAATATAAGAATTAACAAATTAAAAATAGGTGATTATATAGAGAGACTTTATGGGTGAGTCCTAAGCCCAATAAATCTGGAAATCCAAATATTAGTGTTTGGTTTTATGTCAGCCTAGCAAGTTCCCTCGAAAGTATAATCCAGGCACAGAATAAGGAAATGGTGGGCCAGATGAGATGTGTTCACACGTTAATGACATATAAGAGATGCTCGTTGAACAGCAATCTTATAATTGAAAGATATATATATAAATATATATATAAATACTAATTTATATAAATATATATAAATACTAACATAAGCATTTAGACAGCTTAGAGAGCTATGTAAAAAATGAATACAAAATTTAATTCCACTGAAGATAACCACTGTTAATATTTTGTTAATACCGGAAGTTTCTCTTGTCAACATTTTTTTTTTTCATTGCTTGTGTATGTATACATATACCTATGTGTCCAGGTATATATATGTGTGTGTACAAGCTTGGGCTATACATTTAAGTGTGTTCCTTATTTTTTTCTAAGCATGTCAGCAAATACTCTGTGTAAACATTTTTAATGGTGGCGTAAAATGCTTCTAATACTCTATTGTTGTTCATTTAAGGACATTTCCAATTTTTTTGCCAATATGAATGTTTGTTTGATATTTTAAATGTCCCTCAGGAAAGATTCCTATAAGGGGAATGAATCAGAGAATATAATCTTTTATGGCTCTTGATCTATATTATTAAGTCTCTTACCAGAAAGTTTATACCAGTGTATCCCCCACCAGCAATTTACTACAATGGGACTTTGGCAATTACAACTGCTATTCTTTTTTAAGTTGATCTTATTTATTTTGGAGAGAGAAAGAGCACACACACATGCGTGCATGGGATATGGGTCAAAAGAGAGACGGAGAGAGAAAGAATCCCAAGTAGGCTCCATGCTGTCAGAGCAGAGCCCGATGCAGGCTGGATCCCACAGACTGTGAGATCATGACCTGAACTGAAATCAAGAGTTGGATGCTGAACACCTGAGCCACCCAGGCACCCCGTGACTGCTATTATTTTTAGAGCTGATACCGATAGGGAAAATATGTTTGGTTTTGTAATTGGCTCAACTTATGTTACTTTGAGGTTGAAGGTTTTTCGTGCTTATTAGGCATTTATATTTCTTCTCTTGGAACTTTTCTGCTGTGGTTTTTGCTCACTTTCCCATTGAGGTATTTGTATATCCTGTCGTGTACCCTTTATCTGCCTCATTTATTCATTTCATCTGAAATACACCTCTAAACTAAAAAATAAATAAACTTCTCTACCATATCTCTTTCAATCAGGAAAGATCATGATAATCCAAAACAGTTGGCTCCTCATGACTCAGGCCATTATATTTTTCTTTTCCTCTACTAACGTCCACATCATTGTCTACTTTGTTCTGGTTACCCTTGGGATGAACTGTCCATGAAACAAAATTGAAAATACCTGATCATAAACTAACAGACTTCCTTGATTATTCTCCTGTAGAGTACACATATATAAGAGTATGTGTGAGTGCATGTGTTTGAATGAATATGTCTGTAGATACATGTGTAATCTGGATTCAATAAGTTCCAAATTGGCCAAATTATTTTTATTTACTGAAATGTTATGATATAGTTTGAAACATATTGATGAGATCATGGAAAACTTTATCATCAAATTCTACAAAGCACCCCATGGAGCCTTCCCTAATCCCTAGGGATTCACTCACGAATTAGTTTTCCTTTGAAACCCCTCAGCTTTTACTCGTGCTTCTTTGTAGAAATGGTTCCATTCCCCTCTGTTCTACTGCCAGCCATGTGGGCCTCATCTCCCCTACTGATTATGGGTTTCCTTAGAGCCCAGAGCACCTCTCCCAGTCTCTTCTGTCTAGTTCAGGGCTTTGTCGAGGGCACATTCCCAATACATCTTCAATGAACAAACACAATGGAACAAACACAATGATTTCCCCCACAGCTGCATTTATTTCAGTGGGATTTAATCGGCCCTATTACTTGAATCCTACATAGTTAGGTACATAGTAGGGTCTTAGAGTCCTAAATTTCAGCATGATTCTTTTAGGCAACAAAGAGTCTGGATCCTTTGTGGGCCTCTCTGTAGAAGGGCTGGTGGCAGGGATCAGGAAGGGCCTTGTTCAAGATTATAATAAATTACAGATTTCTAAATGTTGGCCTGTCTCATGGAGTTCTCAAAACTAGCTGGTCATCAGTCATACATGCCTGTGATACTTGGGGGAAGGTCAGCAGAGATTTAAAGAGAGACATTCAGAAGTCTGTTAGATAACTCGCCCTTAGGTAGTAAACCTAAGCATTTGAAGCAAACGAATAAAGATGAAATTTATTTTTCAGGCGTATCGCTTCAGTTTCCTTTGTCTTTTTTAAGGCCGCTGCTGCTTTGACTAGGTATATTAATTAACAAGTGTCTCCTTCATAGGCTAGTTGACAGAAGCCATAATGAGGGAGCAAAAATTGGGAGAAAGAATAAAGCAACACAAAAAGAGGAGGGAAAACCCAAAGCCCTTCGTTTCTGCTCTCAGATCCCTCCATCTAAGGCGGGAGGTACAAGTAGGGGAGGAGGGCCATGTTGCAATCTGTTTACTCCTAAGTTACTGCTTCACTGTAGGGTATTTATCCCAGCTTCAGAGGGTTTTTTTTTTTTTTTTTTTTTTTATTAAATCCAGCGTACCGATTCCAATCCCAAACTAATTAATACAAAAATAAACATACTGTTCCCAGGCAGAGGTATAATAAGCAAGAAACACTCCACTATTTTCCACTCCAGAAGGCTCATTCTTAGCTCTGGGTTGTAGTTCAGTGACCAAAGCTTTAATTATTTCATCTTTATGCCACAAAACACGAGGTAAGATTTCCCCACCACCGCAATCGCTCTCAGCTTGACGGGTCTTCTGAAATGGTAGGCAGTGACATTTTGAGGAAGTGAATTTTAGATTCACTACAAGGCCGTAAGCATTACAGTAGTTTTGCCTCCCCAGCTCAGCAAGGTTAAGAAAGCTGACATTTTCACATGACTTGGAGGGGACTTTTTTCTCTTCCTTCCGGATAGGATTACCTCATTGAAGGAGAGCCCCTGAATCCCAGTCCTTCTAAAATAACACATTGTGAATGGGATGGTGGGGGGCGAGGGGGGGCACAGGGAGTGGGGGTGGGTGGGGGGAACACTGATGAATGACAATTAGTTTCTTTTTGCCTTTGGAGGGGAGAAAGTGATGCACACTGAAACATCGAATAGACATTGATGAAAATGCTTAAATATGTCAAATAAACAAATGAATTAATTAGTGTAGGACAATACCTCTATACAAAAGCACCCCAACCCCCAACCCTATGTCCTTCTGAAGTTTACACTTAATTAAATCGGGGGGTTTTTTGTTTATATTCACACAGATGGCTAACGTCACCTCAACAATTCATTCCCGCGTAAATTTACCACACAAAAAGGAACAGTCATTGTTCAAAGTACACAAATACTGGTTGCCATGGAAACCAGTAGGTGCCTGCTGCTCCTGATTCTGTTTTCAGAGCAGAAGGCTAACCACAGGACATTCCAGCTGTGACTCATTGCCACTACTGGCGAGCATTCTGGCTTGGTCCGCGAAGGGTATGATTTCCCCTGCGTTTAGAAAGCCTAAAGATCCACAGTATCTAAGCTTGGAATTAAGTCCACAGAAGGAAACGAATAGAAATTAAGAAAAGAAAGATGGAGATTCTCACTTGAAATATGCAGATCTAAGTTGTATAACCGTGTGGAGAGGGGTGTTTCTTGTTTGTTTGTTTTTTTTAATATCTGCAATGCTGCTTCCATTTTCAGGTTGGCGGTTCAACATATCTTCAAATGTAAATATGTGTATATATTACAACCTCCTGTGTAGAATCCTTTCAATTATTCTCTTAAGGAGACTGTTCGTTTAGGATTTATGTGGTGTAGGTCTCTGCACCCCCGCTCCACCCTCAAGTGGACAGGCAGAGAGGAAGGAAATCTCTTGCCTAAGCCACATTTACCAATTTCTATCGACTTCCTTTGCATGGGTTTGATAATTTGGCACATGCGTAGTTTCTGAGACCATTAGGGACTTCAGACTCCAGGTGCAATATGAAATGATCCGTGGACTCCTTCTAATTAAGAACCATACATGCAAGGTAGAAGATATAAAACTGAGGATGCCTCACTGACAGAGAGTTGAATTTTTGTAAGAGTAAGAATTTTGTAGCAACTCTGGAACTCGAGTCCGGAGGAACCCAGTATCAGCTAACGTGAACCTCAACCTGTTCTCTCAATGGGAATCAGCTTTATGAATTGCCAAGAACTCTCAGAACAGAAATGTGCTTTTGAAGTACTTCTTTGCTGCTAAATTTCTTTTATGATTTTGAATATTTGTGACTTTGATGAAAAAAATTATAATTATTTCATATATTTATAAGCATGGGATGTATGGATATACTACCTTTCTAAACTCACTTTAGCATTATGGGGAGTAATAACTAGAATTCAGTTCTTTCTATTTTAGATTGGCATCTAATTCATACATTTTCTAATTCATACTTTTTCTTATTTCCTTGACATTTTTCTGAAATAAAACTTGCTTAGAGTGGATCATTAATTTTAAGAATTAAATATAGACCAAATAGAGAAATTAAATCAAGGGGCTCTTGGGAAGATATTACTAAAATATGGAGAAACTTCAGGAAAAAATTTTGGTCCCCCTTCTACTACAAATCTTTAAAAACAAAAATAAGGTTATCCTTTAGAGTTTAACATGTATTGAAATATCCCACCTGCCATGAGGGAGAATTTTAGGTGCAGTAGAGAATCACCTAAT